AATGATAATACCAACATGGGCCAGTGAAGCAACATCCTCCACAACTAGACTGAAGAATAAAAGGACAGAAACTTGTCTGTTCCCCTTCCCCAATTCCCCAATTAAAAACAAAAACAAAAAACGTAAGAACTAAAAAGTGCAATAGTGAAAATGAAAAATTCACTGGATAATCTTAACAGCAAATGGGAGATGGTAGAAGGAAGACGAGGCAGTGAACATTAAGACACATCAATAAAAATTATCTAATCTGAAGAACGGAGAGAAAGAAAGGATTAAAGAAAAAAGAACTAAATTTTAGGAACCTTAGTGACAATATCAATAAGCTTAATATACATGTAATGAAAATATCAGGATATTTCACTTATATGTGGAATATAAGACAAAAAGTAACAAAACAAACAAAAATAAACTCATAGATAAAGACAACAAAAAGATGGTTTCCAGAGCAGGTGAGTGGGGGGAGTGTAAAGTGGATAAAGGGGGTCAAATATATGGTAATGGAAGGAGACTAGACTTTGGGTGGGGACCCTGCAATAGAGTACACAGATGTCAAATTATAATCTTGTATATCTGAAAATTATATAATGCTATTAACCAATGTTACCTCAATAAATATATATATATATTTAAATTGGGGAATTGGGGGAGGGGAACAGTGTTGGGGAAGGGGACCAGACAAGTTGTTGCTCTTCAATCTTAGTTGTGGAGGGCACCAGTCGCCATCTGGCTGCCCGACGGCAGCTCGTGGCCTCTAAGCTCAAGGTGCTGTGTTCAATCTTAGCTGCAGGCAGGCATAGCCACCATCCCATGGGGAGTCCAACCGGCAGCCTTGTTGTTAAAAGCGCATGCTCTATCCACTGAGCCATCGCTCAGCTCAAGGTGCCGAGTTGTCTTAGTTGCGGATGGGCATAACCCACCAGGGAACAGGCAGTCTTATTGTTAGGAGCACATGCTCTCTCACCAGCTGAGCCATACTGCCATCTGTTGGCAGCTCAGCAGCAGCTCAGCTTGTGCGCAGTGTCACTAGCCGATGTGGGAATCGAACCAGCAGCCCTGTTCCTCAGAGCTCGCACTCTTAAGCTAACTCTTAATCAACTGAGCCACTAAGCCGGCCTCAATAAATATTTTTTTAAAAACATCAGGATAATAGGATAAGAATTGGGCAGATAAAATATTTGAAGAATATTATGACCAAAAATTTCTAAAATTTGATGAAAACCACTATCTTACAGATTTAAGAAGCTCACCAGACTCCCAGAAGGCTAAACAAAAAAAAAAGACCACACCTTAGCACACCACAGTCAGACTACTGCAAAATAAAGATACACTCCTAAAAGCAGTGTGTATGGAGGGGCTGGGGAGATTTCATGTCAAGGAACAAAGATTTATAAAAAGACAGGTGACTTCTCATCAACAACAAGAACAGAACACAATGAAAACCACCTTTAAAGAGCTCAAAAAAAAAAAAAACCACCAAATTTTATATCCAGTAAAAATATCCTTCAAAAATAAGGATGAAAGAAAGACATTCTCAAGTAAATGAAAGATGAGAGAATTCACCAACAGACCCGTACTATAAGAAATGCTAAGGGGGGGCCGGCCGAGTGGCGCATTGGTTAGGAGTTGGTTTGGGATGCCAGCTCTGAGCAGCAAAGCCCCGGTTCAGATCTCACATGAGGGCCAGTAATGCTGCGCCCTCTACAGCTAAGATGGTGAACAACAGCTNTCTAGTTGTGGAGGATGTCGCTTCACTGGCCCATGTTGGTATTGTGATCATTGTGCTCTTTCCGGCTGAGGCAGATCAGTCACCAGCCATTGGACGGCCGCTCATGGCGGCTCACGGCAGCTCACGCTGGCTGCCGGCCACTCACGGTAGCTTACAGCAGCCCATTGCAGCCCCACTGCATCCTACGCCGTCGCCGGGGACACACAGCAGCCCAGCTCCAGGTTGAGCTGTTGTTCACCATCTTAGCTGTAGAGGGCAGTGTCACTGGCCCATGTGGAATCCGACCGGCGGCCCTGCTGCTCAGAGCTCGCGCTCCCAGGCCAACTCTTAACCAACGAGCCACTCGGCCAGCCCAACAATCCAATTTTTTAAACGGGCAAAGGATCTCAATAGACCTTTCTCCAAAGAAGATATATAAATGGCCAATCAGCACATTGAAAAATGCTCAGTATCACTAGACATTAGGGAAATGCAAATCAAAACCACAATGAAATACCA